ACCTTTTCCAGTATTGAAATTGATGTGGGATCCAGTACGATATACATTGAATATTAATCCAAGTTGCCTAAAAGAAGTGATATTACAAGAGGAATATATTATCAAAAAAATAATTATTTCAATGGCTCAACGTGTCTTTGATCCTATAGGCTTTATGTGCCCTGCTACATTAGTTCCAAAATTGTTGTGAAATAAAAACCTTACCTGGGACGAGTTTGTAGATGAAGATACATCTGTTGAATTAGAAATTGGTTTCTTGAACTGCTTAGTCTATTAGAAATAGCTATACCTAGATGGGTAGATATTGCTCCAACTTCAAATTTCGTTTGTTCTATTCATATGTTCTGTGACGCCAGTAACTACTCTGCAGTTATATTTCTAGGTGTTGTTGAGCATCAACAAGTTTCTGTCCACCTCCTAACAGCCAAGTCTAAGTTGGCTCCTATACTGAAGAAAGGAAAAATTTTGACAATTCCAAAGCTAGATTCACTTGCAGCGACAATTGGCGCAAGATTGTACAGGAATGTCATGGATGATTTTGAATTCAAACAAAAAACGAGTTATTTCTTGAGTGATTCGTCTACGGTAATTACCTGGATACAAAGAAAAGAAGAATAGGCCACATTTGTGTGAAATAGAATTGCTGAAATCCTGAATTCCTGAAATGGTCAATCCTGCAGACCTTCCATCACGTGGTTGTTCTCCAAAAATTTCACTCAGCTCGAGATGGTGGAAGCGGCCAGCATGGTTCTATGAAATGCCAGATAAGTGACCTAGTGGCACTGTCAACTGCTATGAAGAAAAAATTCATCACTACACTGATAATAACTGCTCTGATTTTTGGCATTCAACTGGTTTCTCAGAATTGTTTCAAACAGTGAAGGTGGTGGCTGCTGTCTTCAGATTCATATTCAAACTGAAAACTCAAAAAGCTAGCCGGAATTGTGGACCACTGACATGTGAGGAATTAAACGTCGCTGAAATCTTCATTTTGAAAATTGTTCAAGAAGAAACTTTTCCAGACAAAAAAAAAGGATAAAACCAACATTAGTCTTTCTTCTTTTTGTGATGAAAATGGGTTGATTCCTCTTAAATCCAGAGTATCATCTCGTACAGACTCCGTGAGTTTTCGTTTTCTTATTTTACTTCCTGCTAAACATCCTACAGTTCATCAAAATATTTTTCAGGAGCACGTACCGTCTTGTCATGTAGAAACTCAAGGATTGATAGGCATTCTTCGAGATAGGTATTGGGTACTAGGTGAACGTCGTGCCGTTCGATCTGTTTTCGTTAAATCCTTTACGTGTAGAAAATTCAATGCAAAAAATTTTGACTGTTAACCCGCCACCATTACCAATCGTTCGAGTTCGCGATGCCAATGTGTTTGAAATAACAGGTATCGAAGACGGCTCAAAAACCAAAGAAGGCTCAGGATGTGGAGTGTACTCCAAGTCACTGAGCCTAAGGATTAAGTGGGGAATGGGAAGAAATACCAGCGTGGTCCAAACAGAACTGGCTGGTATCTCAATCGCCACAAAAGAAATAACCGAGTAAGGAATTTCTGGCAAAAACATAACAATCTGCACTGATAGCAGACAAGCACTATTAGCCTTGAACAGACAGCGTGTTACCTCAGGGCTAGTACTAGAGTGCCACCAAGATTTAGCCAAAGCCTCGGTAGATACTAACATTATCCTGAGGTGGCTTGAAGGGCACGACAAGAGTAAGGGTAATCGCATTGCCGACTATTTAGCCAAGGAAGCGGCTGAACTAAAAATTTTAGGACCCAGTGGCACCCATGGCCTGATGACTTCAACAATTGCGGAACTAGTCAAATGTTACACCCATGCTCAATCCTTAAAGAGATGGGATGAAATCAAAGGATGTAATCTTGCCAGGATCACCTTGGGCCACCCTGGGAAGCTGGCGCCGAAGAAATATCTGGCGATGACCAGGAAAAATCTACGCCTCACAGTAGGATTTCTGACGGGCCACTGTCAACTAAGAAAACACCACCATAATATGGGGCTAGTGGACACACCTCTATGCAGGATGTGTGAACAGGAAGATGAGACTGTCAGGCATGTCCTGTGCGAGTGCCCGGAGTTATCGTCAATAAGAGAGTGTGTGTTCGACGAGTCGTGGCCTACACCTGCCGATATAAAGGAGATGTCTCCCAGCGACCTATCCACCTTCCTGGAAAGAACAGGATGGACGATGACCTAGGAGGACAACTCCTCAGGAGGATGTACAATGGGTCACATGAGGCCTAAGTGCGTGGGCTTACACTCACCTTCCCTACTCTACAGATACAGACCAGGTGTCGAGTTTGCTGAACCATTGTTGACATTTGTCTATTCACTTGTGACGTTTATCATGCGGTACATCTCGAAAAAACTATATCGTTGTCAACTAATGCTCTTATGTTGTCTTTGAGACAACGGTAGATATTTTGTTGGTCTAGAAAATGTTTTTTCAAAACTTAACTGATCTGAAATTTTGGAACAGTGTTTGTCGCAGCGCATTCCAACCCTCCGAGAGCCACATGGTGGGGTGGGTTTTGGTTAGTGTTGTAAAGACTTTTCTCCAAAAAGTGTTGGGTCGGGATTCCCCGGACTTTGAAAATTTGATAACTTTGGTTTGCTAGTGTGAAGCCGTAGTAAATAGTAGACCAATTATCAGATCTGGATCAAATAAATGTCCACTTCACAAATATTATTCATCCTGCAAAATCTCATCATCATGAAACACTTATTGAAAGATATACGCAGACCTATAATGGACCTACTTTGAATTTTCGCAGAGTGACACCACTCCAGACTCAACAATACATCAGTGGTATGAAAAGTAACTGTGCTGGATCAAAATTGAAGGTGAAACTTTATGAAACCCTCATATTGTCTAGATTAGCATATTGCGATATAATCTACGGGCCTGCTTCAATATAAACTGATGTAAATCGCTTACAAAAAATACAAAACAATTGCATTCGTCTTTCTTATGGTGTGAGAAAATTCGATCATATATCCCCCAAGTTCGAGGAGTCAGGTTGGTTACCGATTGCTAAATCCTGGTAGTTCCACCTACTCGTCAATACACATAAATTCCTCATTTACAAAAAGCCAAATTATATTTATGAAAGATATAAAACTTTCAAATCACAGAATAATTCGAGGACACGAAACCGTCACACTTTTATTTATCAAATCAATTTATATTATATAGACAATGGAAGTCCGAACGGATGAAATACACCACGAAACATTGTCAACCACCTTCAAACAATACAAACATACACACTGGAAACTGAAACAGCTAAAGTCATAACTCTTCGATTTGGTTTTATCACAGTCGAGTAAAAAAAAACTTTGTCGTGAGAACTGCCGACATCGCCATAGGCGGGAGGTATTCAACATAAAATTTATTGTTTTTCACATTTATATTAAAACAAAAATACATCTGTACACATATAAGTAGTATGAATGCCAACCATATCAATTTTAATTTATTTGTTGGTAGCAGTTGGTATTTGTTGTTGGTATTTGTTAAAAAATAAAAAGATGAGGTTTTAGGGATACTTGAGCGTACCTCATTTAGTTTATCGTACTAACATTATCTGTCTATTGCACCATCAGGATGATTGAACAACAACATATTTTTTCCCAAAAATGAATCATAATACCTGTCTCACTATTGGCCAATCTATATATGTTATCTTGTTTTAATCTCATTCTAGATTGCCAAAAGTTATCTACTCGTTGTTTCTGCTCTCCATATTTTGATCGAGCAGAGAGTGGGAATAACGTTTGTCAGGATGGACAGATCTGAGATAGATTAATGTGAACAAAACGCACCTAAAAATACTAAAGAAGATTCACAGATGTATATAACAGTATTAGTAGAATATTTTGATTTTATTAAATAGGTTAACAGAAAAGCTAATGCGTTTGATCAACTTAATATTGATATTTCCATTTCAATATTCTCATATTTTTTTTTTCCAAAATATACCCACAATGAAAAATAGGGACTTGATGACAAACACAGTCGATAATTTCAGTTTCTAATAGATTCACGAAAGGTTTCAAGGAAATAGGTGAACTAACATGTACTCACATACTCAACCTCAAATGAAATTTAATGTTAGTGTCATCACAACTCACGTCTACCTCTCAATTTACATCATCATGTTGTAGAATACGCAACACTGTACCGTCACATGAACAGTGATATTAACGATATCCAGCGTTTTCTTTTTTTTTTAAGGCTCACGTTAATAAAATCGAGCAAGTCATTTCGGTCGACAGATTTGCATGAAAATTCTACTGAAATGAGTCGCTACACTAGTGTATAGGCATCTTAACCTTGAAATGAAGAGCAACGTTGCGTGCCTATTTCAATCAATTTTAAAATGTGCATATCCAAATTTGAAAACAAAAACGAGTAATTCGATTTAGTCACCAATAAACTCTATTTCAAATCATATTCATTATTATAGACATCAAAAACACTTCCAAACAAACTTGGCATTAATAAACATAGTGGCTGACTTAATATATTTCTCTCACAAAAATTAGTTGGTTATTTTGAAATTGTGAAAGATGAAATGTCAAATTATTAATATTTCATAAAACTTCATTGTCGAGTAATTCTCGTGTCAAAGTAGGTGACAAACTACTTTGGTAAACTGTCATGTTTATCTAGTGCATCTGATCATAAATAAGTTAATAGTATAACCAATTTACTTAATAGAAGGAAAATTAGATATAAATTATTATCAAACATGTCCGAGTGTAATTATTATATCATAGTAGTCTCTGTACTTCAACGAAAAATTTTGAACCGATATATTCGCTAAACTATCTGATTCAAAAACTTACAGGAAATCGATATATTCAACTGAAACCTGAGCTGTCTTTTCAAAAAGACAGCACAGGTTTCAAATTTCAAAACATTTCATTCTTTACTTTTACCTTAACACTAACTTCATTTCCACTTACTGTCTTTTTTAGCAGTGCTCCTTCTTGAATTAGTCACAGATCGTTGGCTACTAGGGAGTTCAAGTTCGTGCTTATGGTCCACATAGTATTTGGCTGAGTGTTGATATTGGTCCAAACCTGAAGGATCAGCTCCAGCGTTAGTGAGCAATTTTTGCACTGACTTCGGATCTTTACACATTGAGGTATAATGATAAGCGGTTCTTCCTTCCTGAAAAGAATGCACAACTTTTTTCATGATTGTTCATCTCGAACAAGGTATCGATGTGGTAATTTATTATTTTCACAAAATTCAAACCTGATTCAATTCAGAAATGAAGAATTGATGATAGTTAACCACAATGATAAAATTAAGGTTCTCTCACCGTGACTAAACTCGGTCTATAAATCTCTATATAATACGAAATAAAAAAATAGAAAAACCAATTCATGTTTTATGAAGATGGGTATTGTAATCATGTCTTCTGGATGAAAATCAAAATATGAAGAGTGGATTCATTGTTACATGTAGTATATATCAAGGAATGTCTCAAAGAAAAGTACTTTTTGTAAAATTCAATGTACATTAAGAATATTTGTTTCAGAACGGCACTTACTTTCAGTTTGTATCTGAAAGTGACTTCTATGCATTATCTACACATCTTGGTAGAGAGTTTATTTTGAAAGCCATTGTTCTCTTTCTTCCTTTAGAAGTTTTCCACATTTTCTGTATGATGATGGCGAATTAGAAAGCCAAAACATTTCTTTTCCAAGAACTTATCTTTCCTAAAAATATCCTCCTTTCAAATCAAACGAGATTCCTATATCTGCGATTGAATCGAATAAGCATATCATGGAATTAATTCTAGCTTTGAACAACTCAAATAACTTTTATTAAAAATGTTAGTTTTTTTAATAATCAATTTCAACAACCTTACGGCAACCTTATGCTACCTTGTTTTTCATAAAAAAATATATTGACAGGTACAGGAAAGATGGTCACTCTGATTTTTTGTTTTTTTTTAACAGTGTTAACTCTATAATGAACACATGGGAACAAGTTGATATTCCGTTTTGCATGAATACTTTTCGTTTTTTGTGATTAGTTCCAGGTGTTGCTCTCATTTTCTTCAAGATTGTGAAGAAACTGTTGACAAGTAGGGAAAGGAACAGTCCTTTCTATTATAAGTTCTCAAGGGATCCTGAGAGATAGACAACAATTGTTGATGCTTTGATCGTTGGTCGCCTTCAACGACTGGATTTGCCATTTCCCTGATGAGAAGAGGATTGAAATTGACAAGGTTGTGTACATCTAGTAGCTCGCTCTTTGATTCTTCTATAGTACGTATAGGAACATAAATACAGGAGAAGCCAGAATGGTCCCTACACATATGAATGTTATTACGTCCTGTCATCTATGACATGATTAGATTTAACTCATTCGTGACATAAAGTCGTAAAATTTTATGAATGAATAGATTGTTTCTTCTGTAATGTTTTTTAGATTGGAGCTTAAGAGGCAATAAGGCAAATGTCTTAGTCCAAAATATCGGATTTTTGCCATTGAGGATGACAGTGTTGCATATAAGTGAAATTTCACCTCTTTCATATGCTATATTGTTAAGCAATTCTGTGTGTGATTGGATTCCATAACGAATGTTCGGAATACAAACTGAATATATAATATATAATTCATATAAAAGTAGTCTTTTCAAAAGTACTTTTTTTCGTAATTCAATGTTTATATGGAACTTATTGTTTCGAGAGGACTTTTTCTTTCAGTTTGTATCTGAAAGTAACTTCTATGCATGACTACACATCTGTTATTCTGAAATGGGTTTCTTTATCCCTTCCTTTGTGAATTTTCCACATTTTCTGTACAATAACGGGTATGTAGAAAGCCAAAAACTTCCCTTCCAGTGAATATTTTTCATCAAATCAATCAAATTCAAAATACACAACCCATTGTTTCAGATGTTTCGCAACCATGTGGCTCAAATTCATTTTTGTTGTTAATCTCCAACAATGGAAACAACAGTAGAGATCAAGATGAGCAACAAAAGTGTGGGAAATAAGACAAGTTCAATGAGAGTGACTGAACATGATGAAATAAAATATCGAAAGTGGAGAAAAACAGTTCGATATTACAAGGTCAGATAGATGGAGCCCGATTTTCAATAACTTGCCACAATATCTTCATTAAGCTGATCACAAAAACAGAATATAATATGCAGATGAAATATTAGTCCCATCCAGCACCGCCGGGTAAAATACGTTTGGAAATGCCCAAAAAGCATCTGTCAATATTACAATCTCAACAAAGATTCGCAAGAATTTTCAGCGTGAGGTGACAGTGGGAAATGATGCTAAGAAATTCTAAGAATGAGATGAAGAAATGTAAAATCCCACAAATCATGTACTGAAGTTTAAGTTTGATGTCAACCTCAATAGCGATATATCTTCAGCAAAATAACGTTGATACGATTCTATTGAAAACTTTCATTCGCGTGATTGGAGTTCCAAACTTTATAAATAACCTTGATGATCTAGAATATCAAAGAAAAGTAAAATGTTCCTCCTCCTTTCATGAATACTTTCAATGAAAGTGTCTAACGGAGTTTCGTATCTTACATGGCAGTGGACGGACGTGCCGATAACGACCGTCCACAAAGAAGGTAGGTATGTGGACTCCATTATTGGAGTGGTTGGAACTCAGTTTGTGTTATGACTGTCCACCGTTTTTGAACGTGCAAGTATTATATTGAATTGTGAAAGGATTTATTAAGTGTTTAAAATATAGCACTCTCATTTACGTCGGTTAGAGTCCGACGTGGGACGGATGTCTACGAGGGAGTGCTAAATTGGATTTACGTAACATCTACCCACATTCACGCTGGTTAGAGGCTGGGGTGGACCGGATGTCCACGTGGGAATAGGATTGCAGCATTTATATGAAATATATGCTGTGGAAAAAATCAAAAGGTCTCCCGATCAGGAGGCGAGCTAATAAAAAATTCAAATTGTTTCTATAATAAAAAAGTTTGACAACAAAGGGGTGGAAGCATTGTTTAGAACAATGTGTTAGGAATCACACGTTAAAAGGTGAGACCTTGTTAATCCTTAGCTCGCACAAGTTTCGACTTCTGAGGGTTGTCGTTCGTAGGGTTGCGACAGCTGGTTACTGGAAGTTTCTTTTATCATGTGATAACATAACATAACTATATTCTAAACCGTTATCAGATACGAAGACGATGGAATGGAAAAAAAAGGTCATCGGGAACAATACAATGGTCGAAGAAAATTTATGAGTACTCTCGCTTTTCTCGAGTTATACGGAAAAACCAAAAATGTCATTTTTCTTTTTTTTTCGAATGGAATTGATATTTCGGAGAATATGAAAAAATGGAAAAAGAAATTGGTATTGCATTCGAAGTGTACTATGACGATGTAATGATAAATATTCGATAAAACATGGCCACCATTAACTTTTTTTTTTAAAGAACCTGTCTTTTTTATTACAGATATTGATAAAGCAATGATTCACAATCCAATAGACTTTAAAACATTATCCCGTGAGAGAGAGGAAGAATCAGACATTTTTGCCCAATATGGACTTAATAGTATTGAAGAACAAGATACCCGAGTAACTGCACAATCTTGCACTAGAATCGATAATATTTTCTCAAATATTGAGACAGAAAGCCGTGTCAAGGACACTTCTCTCTCAGATCATAGATATATCACAGTGAAAATGAATCATAACTCATATGTTGACAGGAAAAACATAAAGTTAGGTAGAAACTATAGCAGAAAGAACAAACAAAAATTTTCCCAACCACTAAAAAAGGATAACTGGGATGTACTATATAACCATGAAACTTGTAATGACAAATACAATAAATTTAAAAGCGTTGTTCAAAATCACTTTTTTTTATGCATTTCCAATACAAATTCAAAAATCAAATACAGTTTTGAAGATTTGGGTAACTGATGAAGTGAAACAGTTAAGTGCACAGCTTAAAGATCTATATATCCTTCAGAAACAGTATCTAATACTAAGCGAATACTATAGTCAGAAAACGTAATCACTAACAAATTGTGGAAAAATGTAAACGTAATCACTATGTGAACATAATTCAGAACTCCGAAAACAAAAGTAAAACTTCCTAGTCTATCGTAAATGAACTGAAAGATAAATCCAAATCTAAGCCTAACATTGAGCTGATACATGAAAATAAAGACATCACTTCACCTGTAACTGTGGCAAACACCTGTAATAACTTTTTCATTGATGCACCATAGAAAGTTATACATAATATACCAGATGAAGGAGGGAATGTTGCCCCTACTCAGAGTAATATCATGGATTCAATATTGGTACTCCCATTTACAGAATCAGAAATTGAAGACATTTTTACAAAACTTATAAACAAACGTTCTTCTGGCCCTGATGCCCTGTCTAACAATATAATTGAAGAATTTGCGGAGGACTTAGTTGAACCATTTTGTCTAATCATGAACTCCTCGATAAAAACAGGATTTTTCCCAGTCCTTAAAAGTAGCGAAGGTGATCCCTTTTATAAAAAAGAATCAAAGAATTTACCAGAAGACTATAGACCATTGTCTCTTACATCAGTGTTTGCGAAACTATTAGTATTGTATGTTAGAGAGGTTGACCTCCTCCATTGGAATATACTGCGATCTGAGCAAAGCGTTTGATTGTGTTCCACACGATCGATTGTTAGAAAAGCTTTTTGTATTTATGGGATCAGAGGAAATACAAATCGGTGGTTTCGGTCTTATCTTGATGGTATAAGACAATATGTGTACGGGTACCGCAGGGAAGTGTCCTTGCACCTATTTTGTTCTCTTTATATATAGCAGATATTGGTAAATACCTAGATGAATACAAACTAACACTTTACGCAGATGATCTATCGATCCTAGATCCAAGAATTATACTTTGGTTCTCAACAAACAAATTATATGTCACTTCTGGTAAAACAAATTTTTCAATATTTCACTATAGACAAAACAGGATTGAAAACAGAAATTAATATGGGAGAAGTAGAATTGAAACAATGTGAAAACATGAAATTTTTATTTGAAGGTGATTGACAATGTTTCGTGATGAATTTCACTAGTTCGGACTTCCATTGT